GAGAGAGAGAGAGAGAGGTAAAACTCGTCCATTAGCAGCCTGTATAAAGCCCCTCCAACCGTCCTCCCACCTCTCCTGCTTATCCTCCCCTCTTCCGCCTCCACTGCTATACTCTCGCCGCTGCTTTTCAAATCACTTCACTCAGTCAGAATAAAGGGCTTTCACCGAAAAAAGACTGCCTTACCTTTACTACAGAGGCCACAGAGATTTTTAAGGGGAGGGGAGTGGGGGGACATTCAGAGAAAGTGAGAATGAGAGGAAAAGAATAACAGCAATGCCTCATCGCAGAGATATCCACAAGACCAGAGAGAAGTTTGGTGTTTGCCAGCAAGATTGAGCACAAAAGAAAAAAAAGTGTTGTGGAACAAGTACAAAACAGAAATCTAGGTGAAAGATGCAGAAACTAATCGAAGAAATCCATGGAAGTGGCATGAAAAGTTTTGAATGGGAAAGATGAAAGTGTACTCACCAGCTAAGCATCACTGGGGTGTGGGGAGGGGGCTTAGAGGGCCGTCTGTCCTTTTCAAACTGATTCTGGAGGAAGAGAGAGAGAGAGGAGGGGGAGGGGTGAGTCTTTCACGAGCTGCTCGCCTCCTTCTCATAAGCCGAGCGCAGAGCCACAAAGAAGTGCTGGTGCTCTCGTAAACAAACCGCCAACTTATCAATGGAGCGGAGAAGGCGGAGCAGGAATGGCATTTAAACTGAGACTTCATGGGGTTGGGGGCTGGAGCAAAAGAGGGACCTGCGAGATGCCTTTACATCAAGTGAGGGCCTAACCGGACAAAAACAAACCACAAAGTTCAGTACAGTTCAAACACATTAAACGCCACATAACATAAGAAGCCTTGTATTGCATAGAAAACACAGGCCACATATGTTCAACTGTACATTAACAATATAGATGTAAATTAGGATGCCTAATTGTGTTGAAACACAGATGCTAATATGCAGAGAGCACTTTGGGCTCCAAGCTTTTTGATCTCAACGCCACAGAGCAAATTGGAACAAATAGCCCTGCTTGGTTTCTACAGCAACCTGAAAGAGCAGCTTAGACTTGCCATCCTTCTTGCGGCATAAACTGCCGTAATATGGCTGCTGTTTACTTCACTTCTACACAGAATGCCAAAAATGAATAAAAGAGGGATTGATTATTGCTATCTGAGTACTCCAGTGAGACTGATCACTTCTGCTTAGACGTACAGTATAATCAATTGTGTGTGTATAATCAAATGCTCATTAGCATAATGCAGAACTTTACAAACATGCTCAACTGATACCTTTGAGTATCAAGGGGCTGCAACTAATCTCATTATTGATTAATAGTAATGCATTTTTTCAACAATTACTCTATAAAATGCCAGAAAATGTTAAATAAAAAGTCCATCAGCAGTCCCCAAAATCCAAAGTGACATCTTCAGATTTCTTGTTTTGTCCAACCAAGATTAACTGAATTGAAATCCATTTAAAAAGATATAAAACAGAAATCAGTCAATACTCACATTTGAGAAGCTGAGATGCTTGATTCATGATGATAATGAATTGATCAAAATTGTTATCAATTAATTAATATACACTTACAGATTTCTTCTACCAGATTCTTCAGCTCAGCGCTGACACTAAACAGTCACAAAGACAGGTAGACAAATGCAGTAAAAGGGATTTTCTATGGAGCTAAGCTGAGAATTTAGGGCTGAGCAGCAGGAAGTGTCCGCTCAGACAAAAAAACTCCCCATAATCTCCAATGTCAGTGTGGGATCAGGCTTTATTCACTGCAACAAGTGAGAAGGAAGAATTCTCATAAACTGCTTAGTCTAAGACCTATAGTCTTACTCTCTTTCACACACACAAACACACACACACACACACGCACACTAATATCCTGAAGCAATGCCTGTACACCAGACAGCCAGACAAACAAAGTCTGGGACTGTTAAAATTCAGTAAAAATGTATTGACCAGACAACTGACAGGCATGTGGCATTCAGCCACTCGATGCAAACCTCACTGCAGAGATGTGTGCTGATAAACATAACACAGATACCAAGTTGATGATAACAAATAACATGAGAACCAATGCCAGGGACGCGTTCTTCGTAACTAGTCTCTTGCACGTCCATCAGGGAGACTACCTCACTTGTAGTTTAACCACATTAACTGGTAATATCTGATGTTTAACAGTGATGAAAGCGTGGAAACATTGTGGAGCTCATTGTAGAGCAAAATAACAACCCCTAACAATGCAGGGACACACACCTAATACATGAATCTATTGCCCCAGTGCATGCTGATAATCTGGAATAACATAATCAGCACTCAGCCTCAGCATATGCTGATCATGATTTCAACTCTCATTTTACTCATTCTGACTTTATTTCAAAATAAGAGCACACTGTTAAAATAACTTTAACATCCAGGATAAACAAATCAAACCAATCAGAGCATTGTTGGCAGGATTAAGAATGACATCATATTACAGTGCCAGAGCCAGAAGAAATAGTGACAGAAAAATGGCGTGTGGATGAGATTGACGCACCTGTGGAGGTTGTTGTCAGTTCATTTACAGAAATAACAACTCTTAAAGCAACTGAACTGAACTGAAACTGAAAATGATATTGAGAATAGTGTGACATTCACTGCTAATGGGTTAGAGCAAAATAACAACCACTCACAAACTGGAGAAGCTAATGTAAACACAATGTCAGACCTAATTAAAAAGTGAAGAAACAATGGCAATGCAGCCTGATTATCAGCCCAACACAACCCTGCAAGTCTCACAACAAGACTAATGACATTGTACTGTAGCAGTGCTTTCAGCTAAATAATAACATGGCAATGCAAACGTGGATGTTTAGAAGCTACATTTACCATGTCCACTATTTTAGTTAAGCGTGTTTGTAAACTGACATTTTCTTTATTAGCACAAAAGCAAAAATAAGTCGTTTTGCAGGTCGTAGTGGCTCTGTGGCAGCAGCATGGGTAGTTGGATTTACGACACTGGGCAATGGCCCACAGTTTGGTGCCTCATAGAGATGCTGATACTAGCGTTACTCTTTTTTTTACTGTAAGACAACTGGTAGTTACATTCTTATTAATCATGTTTCTGTACAAGAAAGACTAAGCAGCTGATAACTGCACAGCTTCTTCCTGATTTCCTAGACATTGTTAAACATAACGTAAAGAGAAAAGTAGAAACTTGTACACTTCTTAGGACAGCTTGCATTTAAACGCATGCATACTGTAGGGAGATACCACTGCAGTTATGGCGACTTGTTTAAAGAAATAAAGTCAGAATGAGTAAAACGAGAGTTGAAATCATGATCAGCATATGATTTCTTGAGTGCTGATTATGTTATTACAGATTATCAGCATGCACTACTTCCGGTACTTCCACTGATTGATGTATATACGTATATACGTATGGGGCAATTAAAATAGATACCGTCTGTCTCTTTACTTCTCTAATCTTGAATTAGTCCTTGAAAGTTATCTGCCTGTTGGCCGGCCTGTGTGTGTGTGTGTGTGTGTGTGTTCAGTTGGTGTGTGGTGAACCCGAGATGCTCTTTTACCAGCAGCCCTTCTGCTAACAGTATGAGACAACGCAGTCAGGAGGTTGGGATCACACTCCTGTGCTCCAATCTGGAACTTTCTTTTGGTTCCATGGAAACTTTTGTAACTCACGGCAGTGCATCTCCCTCATTTCTGTCCATAAGAAATGGTTATCAACAGTCGCCATCAGATCCAGCAGTGAAAATCAAATTCTCCTAATTAAGCTCCAGTTACTGGTAACTGAATCAGACAGTTTAATGAAGACTTAGCGGGAAGTAGGTGAAGAGGCGAGTTACGAGACAGCAGGAGTTCACAATTCAACAACTCATGGAGTTTATCTCTCTCTCTCTCTTTCTCT